GGCGCGCCGTTGATCGACGCCGTCTACGCCACGGGCGGACGCTACCCGGACGCCCACGAGGACGCGCTCGCCGACGCCTTCGCGCTCCACCTCGCGCCGGCCGCGCGGTCGATCCTCGACGACGCGCTCCGGCGCTGGGCGGGCTTCGGCCACTACCAGGGCAGCAAAAGAGAGCGAAATTCCCAACTTCAAAGGCTCATATCTCGGCCATTTTCCACTCGTTTCGGCTGATTTTTGGACGAGCGATCATCTCTCGGAACGGTCTCGAAGCGTGGTTGTTTTCCTCTGAACGCGCGCGCGTGGAACACTCACGTTGAAGCGACGTTTAATCACCCTTTTGCTGCCCAGGCCACTACGCGGCCGCGTACCACGAGTGGATGGCGGCCTGCGTGTTTTACGCTCTGATCGCGCCGGCGCTCGACGACGACGACGAACCCGGCGGCGACGACGACGACGCGCCGGCGGCGGCGTGCGACGAAGCCGGCGAGGCGCTCGCGCTCTGCCACCTCGCCGAGGGCGCGGCGACGGCGCTCGACTTCGACGTCGATCGAGGGGAGGCGGCGACGGAGCGGTGGCGCTACGGCGAGGACGTTCCGGGCAAGCCGGGCTGGGTGAGCTGCAACGGCGCGCACGAGATCGCCTTCGACGTCGTCTGCGAGCGGGGCGACCTCGTCGTCGGCTTCCTCGAGTCCTACGACCCGCGCATGGGCGCGGCCAACGTCACCGCGGCCCAGGCCGGCGTCGCCGTCTCCAGGGTCGTCGACGGCAAGGACCTCGGCGGCTCGCGCGCGTCGATCTTCGCCATGCGCGCGCTCACGGGGCTGGCGCCCGGCGCCGCGCGCGTGACCGTGCGCGTCCTGCCGCGGAAGCGCCTCCCCGACGGCGAACCCCGGGGCTGCGCGTCCTTCCTCGCGACGACGCCCACGGGCGGCATGTGCTGCCTCCGGGACAAGTTCAAGCTCCTGAGCCTCGCGTGCACGTAAGAGGGATGGCATGTGCTGGGCGGCCCTCGCCGAT